GGGGGGGTACTGCATAAGGTCATATGAGCGCCAGAAGATTAGAGGTGTTACAAGAGAGTAACAAACATAAAAAAGAAGAAGGGGAGAAGAGGACGACAGATATTCGATAGGAAAAAAGAAGAAGCAAACCACACCAGAGCTACCGCCAACCACCCACGCAGGTGTGTTTGTTTGTCTGTATGAAGTAGCAAGAGTAACTACTGTGCTTTTTGAACCGTTCAACTTTACGATACATTCCCAAATGATGATATTTTCACCCTAACAGTTGTCATCACCTTTCAGGCCACTGCTTGTTTCTGTGTATTTGTGTGTGTGTGCGTGTGTGTGTGTGGGGGGGGGAAGTGGTATTGTTTGGTGGGAATCGGGATGGAGACCACGGACGTGACGGATTCATTACTTTCTAAGATAAGTGCTTTTTAAGGGGGAAGGGGGAGGGAGGGTGGTTAGGGTGAAGGGTTAATTTTTAGCGTTTGAAGACTATAGAAGTTATTTTTTAAATGTTGATGTCTTTTACTATTTATTTTGTTTGGAATTTTGAAAGACAACAGAACAATGAAAAATGATATTGAGAAAAACAATATCGAAGTTCCGAGACTGATAACGTTCCTCTCCTTTTTTGGTCTTCCTTTTCTCTCCAAATGTATTTCTTAATACTATGAGGAAGTTTCAATTTCCATTTGCTATTACCTGGAAAGTGGATGAGCTGGTATTTTCTTTTCCGTGTAGGTGTTTTTACACCCGCATCGACACAAGTTTAGATCATTTTGGTGGCAGACTTCGACCCTGCCTGTCGGAGCGAACCCAAGCTGAGAGGGATACAACGTCCCAGCAGAAAGACTGAGACACTCGATAAAAGTTATCTCCTCAGGGGAATCGAACTTGGGTCCTCTCCATGACGGCGAAGCGCCTAACTGCTACACCACGGACATAGGTTGAGTCGGCACGCGAACATCTTTCATAATATTACGTTACCTTAGAATTACGAAGTCCTAGCTGACATTTTTGGAAGTTTTGAGTTATTAAGACCATAAACGAAATGTTTTACCTGCTCTATCAAACTGGTAAGATTATTCGAAGTCGTGATCAAGATGTTCAAAGAATTGCATTTGAAAAAGCTTGGCATGTTGTGAAACTCAAAATTTTTGAAGTCAGGTTTTTCAAATATAGGTGCTGGGCAGATAGAACTTTGTAATTTTGAAGTAGCGATTAGGTAACACGCTGGATTGTAAGGTACAAAATAAACTTAAAAACTTCTTTGTAACGGTTTGGCGCCGCTATCAAACACTATGAGATTATTCAAGAAGCGGGGCCTCTGAAATTAACGCCCGTCTCCCAGAGGACCAAGCCTGGTGCGTCGAGAGCCTTAAGAATTCCACAAAATGATCCGAGTTCAAGAATTACCAGTCTAGGATTCGAACAAGGGCAATCCACTCCATGGTGCAAAATGATGCCAATAGAGCTAAGTATGTGCAAACGAATTAATTAAATCATCCCAATAAACCTAAATAGAGATAATGTTATGAAAAACACCTCTTAGATATGGCAAGAAAAGTTTGTTAAAAATATTCATACTTTTTAGTTTTGGACTTGCAGCACGAACTTGGTTGTCTTCTGAGCACATGGCTCAATATTCATCAGTGGACATATACGTAGTTTTCAGAAGTCGCCACTTAGATTAACTTACGAGTTACACGTATTTTCTTTTTCTTTCAGCTGTTCTTTTTGTAAAAACAAAAAAAAAAAATGAAATAAAAAGGACACTCCTTGTAGCTATCTTTGCTATTGCGACAGGTGACATTGTTCGTCGCCACTGCAACAACAACGCTGGGCTCGGGCGAGTTTCTGCTCTCCCTGACCTCCTATTTTGAGAAGTAACTAAACTCTCGTCTCATCAGGCTTGACGATGCCTATTTCTGGGTCAAAGAAACCCAAACAATGCGTGTCTGGCAAATAATTAAACGTTTGCTCCTTCGAGAGACAAATAACGGGATAAACACTTCAACATGACGTGCAGCTCCTTTGTCTTGTAGGGAAACTTGTTGGCGTTGTGTTATATTTGACGTGTATTTTACGACGAGGTGTTCATGGAAATATAGTTACGACCAAGCACTCGATTTCGAGAAGCAAAGGCGCTCAAAGTTCTACAAACTCCGCACCACAATCATTTCCCATTCAAAAATGGGACTGTCACGTTCGAAGTACGTATGTACAATACACAGAGACACAGACACACATACAGACAGAGACACAGACACAGGTACACACACACACACATACACGAACACAAACACACACACACACACACACACACACACACACGCACACACACACAAACACACACAAACACACACACACGCACACACACACACACACACACACACACACACACACACACACACACACACACAGACATCCAAATATATGCCTGCCTACCACTATGTTATTATATAATACAAGGTTATAAAAAAGAAGGCCCGTTTAAAGGGCGACAAGTCAGTTATCTGTGCTCCAATGTCAACAAATCTTTGAACCAATACATTGTAAAATTTAACCAAGAGAACGGCAAATTTGCCAGTATGAAGAAAATCAACCGATGTGTTCAAGAATGATCAAGTTAAAAAAAAAATCAACCAAAATTGAGTAACAGGTTTAAGGGCATGATCTGCACGTTGTTTTCAGGACGAGGACGGCAAAACCATGATCGTCACATCGGATGTATAATCTCACTGTGCGGATAAATTTAAACAAAGCGTGGGGAGAAGTAGGTGTAAACTGTTGAGGAGGCCTGGTTACAGTAGGATGGGGCTACACCCCACATGTCAAAAATGTCCCTTGTATGGTTGCAAGAAAGTTTTAGGGAGCGTCTTATAAACCGAAAACTGTCAAATGAATGGTCACCGCTCTCGACAGATAACGTCTCCGGAGTCCAAAGAATCGACCCGGACACATGTCACAAAGTTATTCAAAAAATTCAATGGCGAATTGGAGCTTGTCTAGATATAATACATTTTAAAGGGCAACACCTGGAGCTAGAATAGCCACTACCTTCCATGATTTTATTTAGCAATGAATTCTATATAAAGTTGTTTTTTTCAATGGATTTTATACGCAATAAATATGGTTGACTTTTAAGACGTTGAAAAGTTTTTACATTTCAATCAGTTTTGGTTGAAATTCTAAAACCTCGATATTTTTCGAAAATCAAAATTGATTAATTTCTTTATGTCGATAAAGATGACGTCATCTTGATGACATTCAATTTGTTTGAAATATGCAAGGAATGTTATTTTATTTCATTTCCAGGCCCCAGTTACAGGTTGTTTTATTTTCGTTCTCTTTTTCTCTTTCATTTAGATGGCAGACAGATGTGCTGGTCCTGTCAGTTTGTATTTGGAGGTCGTGGCGAAGAATGTGCGGAAGCCCCAGGCAACTGGACCGAGGGTAACCCAAGGACCAGATGTGAGGGCTACTGCGTGACCTTGGCCACATTTATTGCTGGTGAGTTCCAGACACTCCATGGAGAGAGTATTCGGTGCTGCGAGTCGATAATTTTTCTAGCATCCGCTGGGTTTGCTTACCTTTGTTATTTAAGTTAACCCCGGACCAATCCCCTACCCCTCAGTAGACACAATGTAAGTCCTTTTGAATGCAGATCACTAGGTCCTCACTAAAAACAAGAGAACAAATTCCTGGACAGGCAAAAAATGCTTTGGACCTCGTTCTGATTCTCTCTTTGAATGCTGATGCGTCGGACCTTTAGTCCACATCGGCCGGCAACGTCAAAGGAATGGGAAGACACTTACTGAACTCGTCTGCTTCCAGGATGGATCATGGCGGAAAGTCAGACTTTTAAGCATATCAATCGGAAATCGACAAGAATAAACAATGACCTCCCCAGAATCAGGCCCAGCCAACAACTGGTGTGGAAACATTATCATAGGTACCAATGGATTGTAGCACTAGACGGGTCGAGTATCAAAGAAGTGACAATGTTGCTTAACACAGTAAACAACACCGAAGAGGTACCAGAGAGTCTGAAGAAGTTCATATTTATAGCATCGCCTAGACAACCTGGACATCAGAATGTGAACAACACAGGACAATCAGTCTCATGAATCACCTGACTAAATTCCTCTCGCTGGCACTTATGAAAAGAATGAGAAATAGAATACTCCCAGAAATCTCTGAAGCGCAATCTAGATTTGTTGCAGATACACGAAATGCCATCTTCACCCTGAAGATGCTCATGGAAAGATCAACTGAGGTCTAGAGGTACCTTTATCTAAAGCAATCTTGGCAGTTCTGAATACAGACGGAAAAGACTAAAGAATCTAAGAAACCTTTGTTTGGGAACAGCAGGCAGCAGTCAAAGTTGGGAATGAGCTCAACGAATACAGGCCAGTCGGCAGAGGAGTACGACGACAAGGATGTGTCTTACCTTCAATTCTCCTAAATCTATACTGCGAAATGATACTGCGTAACATTAGCGGTCTGGAAGGAGTCAAGGTAGGCAGCCACAATATGAATAAACTGCAGTACGTTGGCAATAGTCTGAGTTACTAATTGTGAGGCCATGTTCCAAGAGATTTAACTGGAGTGACAGGAAAATCAAAGAGAAAGGGCTACAACTGAACGCCAAGATAGCAGAATGCATGGTGATTCAAAAAAAGTGTCAATGATCCGGAATGCAACACCACATGTAAGAAGGAAAGTTTTTGTTTTGTTTTTGTAAAGTGTTTTACGGCGCTCGCAACTGCATAAGGTCATATTATGAGCGCGCGAGACACACCTAATATTTTAAGTTGGTAGGACATTTGGAATTTTGCCCGGGTGGCGGCCGAAGGGAACTCTTATCGATTTTAGACCACCAAGAGATCTTTAACGTGCGCAACTTGCACACGGGCCCTCCGAGATTTTTCGCCCTTGTCCGAGAAGGCTAGGTGTAGATCTTTCCTACCAGAAGATCAGGGGTGTGGCAGAAAGACAGCAGTAAGGAGGAGCCAAGGAGTAGCAGTAGAAAGGCTGCAGAAAGAGTCAGGAGTCCAGAGGAGGGGGCAAAGGAGGTGAGGGGGTGGGGGCAGAAAGTGGAAATGAAAGCAGACAACAAACGTTGCTAGAGAGCAGGAAAGGAGGTGAAAGGAGACAATTTTAGAGAAGAAAATTGTTCGGTCGCTACCCGGATTCGAACCCGGGACCTTTGAATGAGAGGCCAACACCTTAACCTCTAGGCCACGAGAGCCCCCCAAGAAGGAAAGAATAGAACCGATCTACAGCTTGGTTGCACAAATTCACCATATACAGAAAAGTGGCACAGGTATAAAAAGAGGGTTACAATATCTAAAGGAACTTTCAACAAGATGAAACACGTCCTCTCAAACATAAACATAGCAGTGACTACAAGAATAAAACCCATGATAGCGTATGTGTGATCAATCCGTTTGAATGGAAGTGAAAACTGGACTCGAAACAAAGACACGGAAAAAAAGATTGGAAGCCACAGAGTTGTGGTGTTTAAGGACAGTATTCGGAATATATCATGGACAGAGAGGAAAAAAATTGCTCCAAATGGCAAGTTATGAAAGGCCTATGATCATCACCATTAAATAGAGACAACTGAGATTCTTTGACTACTTAAATAGATCTATTTGACAAGAGAAACTGCTGCTGTGTGGACAGATAGAAGAAAAGAAGACCTGAGGAAGACAGAGAACAATGAGAAAAACTGAGCTGATCAAGAAGACTCACAACCGCAAGGAGTAGGATACCATGATCGTCAGTGTCTGCTACAGACCTGGCACCAGAGGAAGAAGGTAAATAGACAGTCGTCTTTATTTTTTTTAAAAGACATACGAAATGCACCCTGCCTAATACTCCTTCTTTGTAACAAATAATGATTCGTGTGATTATGGAGTTTCCCAGAATTTATAACAATCCTTTTCATTATTATTCTTTTTTTCCTTAAGCGTTTCACAGCACTTGCAGCACACTAAGGTCATTTAAACGCCGAAAATTAGAGGTGTAACAAGAGATTATCAGACACAAAAAAGAAGGAGGAGAGATCAGGACAATAAAGGTGTTTGATAGAAAAGAATGAGCAAACCATACCTGAGTAACCGCCAACCACCCACGTTTCATCATTATTGAGACCAAATATTTTCCACGGTATAAAGTATTTAGTTAATTTAGGTTACTTGACATTGATTAGACTTTGACTTATAAAACCGATAAAAGTACAGTTGAATCTCCCATTTCGACCACTGGACTTAATGGGCAACATCCGAGGTCGCTGTTGTAACCACAGTGGCTTTGCAGGTATGTCTTACAGAGACAGGACACAGCAGTCTGTGATCATTGTTATGTGAGGGCACAATTTACTCTTCTTAATTTTACAAATAAGCACCAACCAAATTTTTTTTTAAATCTGACCATACCCCCTCCCCCCCCCCACGCGCCATTTTAACAACATTTCCTTTTAACATACCGGCTTACAAGAGATGGACTGCTTTGAGCCTGTACTCAGATTTCTGGGACAGCATAATACATGAATATGTATAATGCATTCGATAGATATAGATACTCTGTAGGCTACATTCTCCACGTTAGAACAAAACTGGGGTCTTTTGAGGGCAATGCTGAGAGACTAACCATTGAACTACAGACGCCAATTTATAAGAATGTGGCATGAATCAAAATAATTCAGAGTGGTGTGCCGGAGTGGTTCTGTGTGTTTGATTATGGTGTGTGTGTGTGTGGGGGGGGGGGGGGGGGGGAATCATTTCCTTTTTAAAAAATGCTGTTGGTCATTTTCTTCTATATTGCAACTTAATTTTTTTTTTTTACTTGTTTGTTTTTTTGGTTGAGGATGCCTTCCCTGAAATGACATGGTCGTTGCACTAACTGCTATTTCAATGTGTCATTTCTAGTTCACCCAGATGTACACTTCGCTATTCACTTCTCTCTCAGACATTCCCACAACGTCATGCCGTTATTATTCCTCCAACAGACACGGGCGAACTCAAGTATTTCTACCGTGGTTGTGTCGTTGACAAGGCGAAGCGGAAGCAGGGCTGCGTTAGAGTTGGCACCACAGACGACTGTTACTTCATCTGTGGTGACGGGGACCACTACTGTAATGACAAATCCCTCCCTACGTCGCCTTATGTGGAGGAGGGTTCTGATGGCAACGGCGCCAGCGGTATATTTATCTTTGGGCTGACACACACTGTACATTTGTTTTTAGCCGTTTTGGCCACCCACAGTCTGATAAAACTTTGTTACTCTCGTTCTGTTGTATAAAGTGTACTGAATAAATGGTGTCTCCGTACTGTGGTGTCTTTATTGCCGTCCTTGTTGCTTCTGGCGGTGCTGGTGCCGTACCTGTGGGCTGTGTTTAGAAGAATGTAAGTGATGGATAAGAAAAAGAGACACCCAGGTCCAAGTTAAGCTACGCTCTTCATCTTTGCCACGAGGTTCGAGTTTCTTACAGAGATGATGAGGCTTGTTTGAAAAGAAGCCTGTTGCAAAGCATTTATTTAAAGGAAATAAACAATTGAATCCCTCCATCACCTCTGCGTTTTCTCTCCTGTATTTTGTTTGATTTGATGTTTCACAATACACAAACAAGCTGTGTCAAGCAATAAAGTGCCTTTTCCCCAAACACTATTAAGTCTTGTAGTGGTAGGTTACAGTGAATTAAGTATTTTCCCCCTCTTCTACGAACATGATGTGTCACTTCGCGGTGGAATCAGGCGTTTGTAATTATTATGGAGTTATTGGTAAAATCTTTGAGTTAAAGCATGTTCACTTGTCTTGCTTTTGACGGAAACTGCAAATTTACAACCTTTTTGTGCCTTTGGTAAATGTTTTTCTGTAAAATCCACCCCAAAATGTGTTTTAAGAGGACATAACCCTTGACAAATGTTGCTTTCTGTGCTTAGAATAGCTGAACAGCTGGCAGACGAGATATCCTCTCTAAATTGATGTTGAAGTCTGCCACTCTGTTATCCCAAACAGAGGTGCGAAGAAGGGCATACACATGTTTTGCTTTTGCTACCCTAGAGAGAGAGTTTTCTGAGCCAGTTGGTATAGAACGCATACAAAATATATGTATCATTGTTTGTAACATTTTTTAGGCAGCGCCGACCTTCGCTCCACTTTTTAGAAGAACCCACGCTTTTTTCAGATCTCAATATTTAAAAGAAGGTAGCATTCAATAATCCTAAGAATACGACGGAGCCAGGTTTTCCCGATTTTGAACTTGAGAATAAAGTTAGGTTTTGACGCGATGTATCGATATACGAACACAATAATTGTACCATTTGTTTACTGTTCCACTTTTAACAGACACGAGCGTCTGCTGTTCAGTAAAGGTCCATAGCTGTCTGGATTGATTTTAAAGCGAACCCTACAACTGGGAGGGACGTATTAAAAGAACCTCATAGGGTATGAACTTTCGTCAGTTTATTATTAGACATAACTAGTTTGGATAGCTGTCGAGTGTGTAGAATGGTCATCTCGGAGGAACAACCCCATGTTCCTCTCACAGGCTCTAACAATATCCCCCAGGTGCGGTCCCTGCAACTAAAGCCAAGCGACACATCATGGCAAGAGCTGATGTCAACATTACTTCGACAACTTAAAAAAGACTGTGAGACAGTCATGTTGTTAGCAAAATGGTTTTAAAATTTACGTCTTAATTAATTAAAAGGCCGCTTTCAGCTTCGAGTTATATTCAGCCCGGTTATATTCATCGATCGCTTGTTTTTTAATGCAATTTCTCATGAGCAGGTAATGGAGGCCCCGTAGAAGTACATAGAGTAATAATATTGATGTTTGATAATATCTTACCCCCCCCCACACACACACACACACTCCCAGCTCTTCTTTTTCCTTTTACCAACACTTTCAAAACTCACCCCGATCTCATTCTCCTTACTCTGAGAGCACCGTGGCGTCAGTGCCATCTCATTTGCACCATCTCCATCTTTCTCCTTCATATCCTTTTCTCAGCAGATTGGCTGTATTGTTCTATGGGTTTGAGTATATACATCATATTCTTCTGGTGATTAAGGGTTGTTTGTCTTTATGATGTGTGAATCTGTGTTTGTGTATGGGCCCGAGCTTGTGCATATATTATGTACATGTTGGTAAGATAGCGAGTCTGTGTCTTTGTGTGTGTGTGGATGTGGGGG